CTGTCTTCCTCTACTTTATATGGGACGCCACCACAGCATGGCTTGCCAAGCACTGCGTTGGTGTGCGCCCAGGATCCGAATCGGCGTACCCCGGGCCGCTGCAGTGGAGTGCTTACACACAACCGCTTGTGCCACCGGGCCAGCCCCATATGTGACTATTTTTTATGTCATCTTGAATCTCCAGAGCAGAGCACAGTGCCTGGCCCCTAGTAAGTGTTCATTAAATGCTCCCTAAATTAATTAAGACCAAAGCTATCCTGCTTTCCTCCTCCATCTACTCCTCCCCGCTGTGCCATCTGGATAGATTCTTACTCAGTTCCATTTGGGAATGTTTTTAACAGGCCTCAGAGAACCAAATCTCTTCCTTTCTTCTTTGTGACCTCCCTTGGATGGAGGGCCCTCTTGGGACCCAACCCACAAGGTACTGTTGCAACTCACATGGGCTAACTGCTTTTCCTGTCACCCGTTACTATGCCTCAGATGGCCTAATCACACCAAATATGTGGCCCTCCCACCCTAACACTGAAGCAACTGTGGCTAAAAAACAAAGTTCCCCGAATTTTTGGTTGATGTTAAGTGTTTAAAAAACTTTGGGTCATTATTTCTGTTAATTCCTGAACTTGAGAAACACAAGTTAAAGAAAAAAAAAAAATCATACCACCACAGAGCTAGAGGACACTCTGAAAAGGTACCCAGTGCCCCTAACAGAAGCTACAACCTGGCCCAGAAATCTGCACACGCTTTGCTCACCTGGGTGGCTCCTTACTCAGCTCAGTTACTGTTCAGTCAATGACCAAATCTTTCCTAAAACACTCTTGGGAAGTGGGAGTGTATTGCGTAGGGTTTTAAGGTATCCTTCCTCCTAAAGCGCTGTTGCATTTCCTTATTTTAAGTTCACGGTCTCACACGTTGGTTACTTTCCAATCTGAAATGCCTTGGGATTAGAGAGCAGGCTATATACTTGCTTCTCCTACCCTATGCCTCCTCAGAAGTCAAATTCGTATCAATGCATACAAACAAGCAAACTATAGAAGACCAATCCTTGCTCATGGGCAAAATAAGAGGTAGAAGACATGAGGTATGACTTCAAGGGCAATGGGAAAACCCTCTTCTCCAAATATATTTTTGTAACTCCAGGTCTATGTTTGAAATTCTATATTGATAATTCCACTCCTCAGCTCCCTCTTAAGAAGCAAAAACTCTTGGAAGAATTAATACTTTAAGTGACTATTTGTTACTTACACCTTAATATGGAGCGATTCCAGATCATTTCTTGAAGGTAGGCTTTGAGTAAGGGGAAGGTGGAAAAGACAAAAGGGATGTACAGAAGAAAGGGATAGGATACCACCAAGATGTAGAAAATGGCAAAGCCTAGAGAAGATTAAGAACACACACATACATCTACACAGTATTTCTAGGACTGGCTTTGCAGGAGAGAAAATAAAAGCTCCTGGGGGGACAACATATCGAGGTTTCTGAGGGCACTGTACAAAGGCTGGGCACATTACAGGGTTTCTAAGGCCAGGAAGGACAGATTCAGTTAATAAGGTGGTAGTATGAAATGTCCCAGCTGTACTGAGCTTTAGAGGAAAACCAATTTCAAATCCAGAGAAACTTGGGAGCTTCTCCTATCACTATAGAAAGACAGATACAGGTGCCCCTTAGGAGAATCATCATCTTCTTTTGGGATAATGGAAGGACAGTCATATAATCTGAACATGCAGAGACCATGAACCAGAAGATAGAGGTCTCAAATTCCTCACTTTAGCAGAGATGCTAATAATTCTCCCAAACAAAATGATTCACCCCAACGCTTCTTTCCTACCATAAAAGAGAAAAAAGTTTTGGCCATCTATTTGGACATTTCCTAGGATACCCAGTGCACAACTGGGGTGTGTGTGTGTATTTAAGGAGGTGAGAGATAACACAGAGTAGAGCTCTCTATTGGTTGAATTCGATAGAAGCAAGACAAAATGAACCATGAAAGGAGCATAGTAAATAAGAGAGTATCATCCCAGAAGGGAAAACTGTGAAAAGAATGAGAAACCAGAGTTTGGTGAGAACATGAAAACAGAATTGCCTTTAGTGGCGCATCCCCCAAAGCGAAGCAAGATTATTCTGATCTGCTATCTCTTATCTCTGACCTTTCTCAATGAAATATAATGAGTGAGGTATGTGTGGGAGGATTTGCACTTTTTACACTTCTGTACAGCTTGAATATTTTAAAATATGTACATATTACTTTTGTAATTAAGAAGAAATGTAGTTATAAAATACAGTGGTATAAAAGGGAAAAAGGAGGAAGTAAAATAAGAGAAAATGCAATAAGTTCCAATGTATGGGGGACTACAGAGGTCAGCAGACCATTAAAAATATATGGGAGGAGGGGACTCCTGTGCCTTGGTAATCCAGCTTCCTTTTCTCTACTCATCCCCTTCCCAAGTGCCTCGCTGTTTGACCCAACTTTCCAATAGCACAGAAACCTGGGCTCCTAAAGAAGTGGACAAAGAACAGAGGTGATGCCAACCTTCTGGAATGGAATTTCTCACTCTTCCCCAAATCCCTTCCTCAGTGATATCACCTCATAGTTCCAGGCTTGGTTCCACCTAACCATTACCTGCCTGGGAAATACCCAAGTTTGCGTCCCACAAAAGTTTCACCAACTGTGGTCAGAAGATCTCTTGATGGCTGGGGATCCCTGAGCCCCTTTCCAGTGCAGATAATGAAATCGCTGATTCCCCACTTCTAGGTCAGAGAGATGGTATCCACTAGAGACCACATTATTAAGTGGCAAAGAAACGGACAAACATCCCTCAAACCCAACTTCTTAGGTTTTTCACAGGACATGAAACAGTAGGTAAGACGCACACAGAGACTGCAGCCTAACCCAGCTGAGGCCAAGGGAAAGTGTAGGGGCTGAGTTTGGAACAATCACAGAAAAAAAAAATGACATTGTCTTCACTGGCTACCCCGGGAGTACCAAAAAACTTCAAGTTACCACATCTCAACACGAATGGGAACAAAAGAGTGGGTACTCCCAAGACCCAGAGCCTCCAGCCCACCCTTCAGCATTCCCAGAAGCTCCGATAACTGACACCAGGCCCTGCTTCCATTTCCCCAACTACCTTAGCTTCTAGATCACGAGAGCTCTCTTCGTTTGCCTCAGTTCTCCCTCACTGAACCCAAATCCCTCTCGGCTCAACTGTGGGGCGTAGTTATTTTTATAACAGTCACTTTCCCTGAAAAGAATGCCTCTTACCCAGCTAAGAACCCTTCTCCGGCCCTTCCAGTGAGACACCTCAGGGAGCCCCAGCCCGGTTACCCTCGGGGCCCGGGCGTCAGGTCTGACCCCTCCTCACCTCCCGGCAAATGGGCTTACCTCACCGCCGCCCCGTCCCTTTCCCAGCTCCTCCCTCTTCGGCGCTGCTCAATGAGGCCTGCCCCTGCCCTCACACCAGCCCCGGGCCTCCCGCGCCGGCCCCAGCCCGGCCGCCCACAGAACCCGGCCGCCTCCCGGACTCACCAACTTTGCGCTCCCAGCCCGCCCGGTCCCCTCCTCAGCGCCCCCATTAGGCCTGCCGGGGCCCGGCCCCCTTCTCCCCTCTCCAGTGGGCCGCTCTACCCCATCGCTGAGGCCCAGACCCGCCTCTGCTCTCGGGCCAGGCCGCTCTCCTCTCGCGGGCGCTTCCACCCCTGCCCTTGCGGGCTCCATCACCCCGGTACCTGGGGCTCCGTCTCCCCCGTCGGGCCCAAGCCTGTGTCGAACAGACAAACAGCTACGGCTCAACCAAACCCTCCTGCCCCTCCTCCTCCTCCTCGCCCTGGGCGGGGGCCCCAGCCAGTAGCACGATTACCCGCCTACCACCAAGGGTGGGCTATGTGCGCCCTAATCCGCCAATCCTCTGGAGAAGGGCGGGTCTCTTTCGGGGCTGTCACCAATGAGTACGAGCAATGGACTCGACAGGCGGGGCCCCAGACCAATAAGGAGAGGGAACCCTTGATGATGGATAGGGTGAGGAGCCATAAAAGCGCGAGCTCCCCGAGACAGGGGGCGGTACACTGTTGACAGGCGTATTTAGCAACCAATAAAATCTCGACACCCTCATGACCCCGCCTTTTGACTCATAAACATCTAATCAGGTGAGTAATGGGGGCGGGTCAAAGGGAAACTTTAACCAGTACTGCGAAAATTCAGGGCTTGAATGGCAGGCAAGGCGGGGCTGAAAGAGGCCTTAGGAAGGCCGCCCCTCCCCTGGATTTGGCGGGGGCTGCCTCTAGCGCCCCGCCCTCTATGACAAATTCGCGGGTGAAAAGGGAAATACCTCTCCCGGGGACCCGGAGCTTGGGAATTGAAGTAGCCGTCACGTCGGTGCTTCCTCTTTTTAGTGGGACAGGAGTCTTTGGGGTGGCCAGCGGCAGTCTGAGATGTTTTTTGGTAGGGTGGGACAATGTCAACTCCATGAAGTGGCAGCTTGCAGAGGCTTTTGCTCCTCATAATAATTTTTCGTACAGACAGCTGACATTGTCTGAATCATATGCAAATGTGAATAAAGTATCTTTAGAAAACTTTGCTGTTTGTGATATGCAAAAAAAGCAAAAACGATGAGCTTACTGGGAAATGCAGTGTCAAGGTGAATTCCCGCGGAGTCCACTCCCAACCACATTGCTGCTCCTAAACCCTTCCTAACATTGAAATCCTGTAACTGCCGGCTGTATGTATGTGTATGTGGCATGTGTGTGTGTTGGGGGGGAGGGGGGAGATGCAGGGTTGTGGGGAAAGTGAAGTAGGAAATACATAGGCTTCAGTTTCCCCAGCTGTAAACTGGGGGCACTATCCCAGTTGCGTCATAGAAGCAAAATGGGGTAGGGTGGGTAGCCCTGCAGACAGAGATTAGGAAAAGTGGAGGTCTGAAACCAATTATCACATATACACATTTATATTCTCTCTCACACCATTTTTTCAGTAAATAAATACACAAAAGTAAAGGAGAAAAGAGATAAACTATAAAACTTTTTTTTAATGAATTACAAACTAAATTACAAATAATGTTAATAGCAAGAACACTCAAGGACAAGAGGTGGGAGAAGACAGACAAAATCACAGAAAGAAAAAAAATACTCTTTTTTTTTTGTAACATTCGCATTACAAAACCCCAAGGTACACATGGCAACAAATCCACCCACTCCCACTTAAAAAACTACTATAACCTGAAATATAAATATAATTGTTCATCCTTCTCTTAAAGAAATATTTTTTCCCAATGCCCCTGCTCAGTCAGAGCCCTAAAAAAGTGTCAGCATTCTCAAAATGATGTCTAAACCCTAACTTCCACTCCTATGGGATGGCCTTCAAAGGAAGATGGGAGCGGGGATCCCTGGCGCCTGAAGAACTAAGACTCTAAAAAGGAAGAGAAAAATTCAAACATCTTTCACTTGCCTCATAAGGCCGCGGTGAAACACAATCCCTGTCCCAGAGCCTCCCAGACACCCTTGCCTATAGGAGGGACAGACAACAGGCCTGAGGGCAGTCATTTCTATTGCAGACCCACCAGGATTGTGGAGACTGGGAGTCTTGAGTCTCCCAGACTGTTAGGTGAGATGAAACACTAAAATTAGGGTATAAACTGGTTGGATCTATTTTTTAACCTAATTCCTTAAAACAGGCCCCTCCCTATGTTTTTGTTTTGCTTGGTTTACAAAAGTTCCAACTTAGCCCGGTTGCTATCAGTTGGCCTTAGGAACACAGTGGCTGAAGGAGGCTTGGGGTCTCTGCCATCCGAAACACGGGAAAATAATAACTGCGGGGCTTTCAGAGATTGGGATGGCAAACCCTATGTTGGGGGAGGGGAAACAGTCAGTCTTTTTTTTTTTTTTTTTAATACCAGCCTTCCTCAGCAATGAGGAAGAGGAGGGGAGAGAGTGGTGGCGGCTGACTTAAGTGCATCCAATACTGAAGCTTCCTTTCATTTTTCACCCATTTTGCCCCTCCACCCTTGTGTATCCCCAGAGTTGGCTGGCTAAGAGGGGAAGGTGAGTGTTAAGGCAGCCAGACAAGATCGAAGGGCAAATGGCCCAGGGCCAAGCCACATCAGGCCCCCACTGGAGAAGGTGAGACCAGGAGTGGTGGCTTAGCGAAGGCCATCAGAGTCGAAGGTGGGGTACTGGCTTGGTCACATCCTGGAAGAAAGGGTGAGTCAGAGCTGCCTTTGCCGAAATCCGCTTGTTGGGGTCGTAGTGCAGCATTTGCTGGAGGGAGAGATGTATTCTGACTTCAGTGATATGATAGCGGACTAAATGGGTGGCAGGTATTCCAAGAAATTGGGAAATCAGAATTCCTTTTACCCAAAGCAGAGTTCCCATTTCCCTCCTCCCTATATCTGGACAGGTGTGCCAACAGGGAGAGAGGCAAGGACTAGGGAAATGCTGAGACCCAGAGTCCAGGGTCTCATCCTTCCTTCATCCTGGAAAAACTCTGCCCTGGAGGAGTGAATGAGAGGAAATGGATGCCCACCCTCCACTCTCACCGATAACAAGCTCCGTCCATCTTCATCCAGGGGAGGCACAACTTTGCTAAAATCTTGCCGGGCCCACTTGGGGAAACTTGGCTTATAATCAGGCATGGAAGTAACTCCTGGCCAAACCACCTCATCTGGGGTCCCCAGAGTTCGAAAGATCCGGAAGAGTTGGTCGATCTCAGAATCTCCAGGGAATAGGGCCCGGCGGGTCACCTGAAAACGAGGAAAGAGGATAGGCCAAGACTTGCAGTGACGTCAGTCAAAACTGCCCCCAGTACAATGGAGGTTCCCACAGGCAGTGGAAGGTCAGCAGGGCCCCATGACTCCCTCCCCAGGGCCTTTCATGGGTTCAGGGTCAGTCACACAGAGCCTGAGACAATGAAGTCCCTTCATCTGTCTCCTCGCCCCCTCCTTCCTTCCCCCAACCATGGCTTTGCAGATCCCCAAGACTGGGTGGGGCTGGGAGGGGGTGAATGTCTGGGGTGCCACTGACATGTAGCAAAGGGATCCCAAGCCACTCACGGGGTGTGGGGTAGACACTGCGGTCATCCCCCCTCCTTGTGATGCAGCCACTTCTAGATAGGAGCACAGCGGGCAGAGACTGTGTCTTCCATTTCTTCTGTGTTCCCCACAGCACTTAGCATGGTGCTGGGTACACACTAGGTGCTTAACAAATATTTTTGGATGAATTGAGAGAGGAATATGGGCAATTGTAAGGTAATGCACTGGGGGATAAATGCACATTATATATATTATATATGTAGGCTAATGGTCTCCAAGCCCCCAGTTACAACCCAGATAAAGGACCATAAAACATATTGCTGATTTGATTTGAAAACTCAGCCCACTCACTGCTGTATTAAAGGGGATGAGAGCTCCCATATAAAGCTGGGCCTCAGGGATCCTTCAATCTGAAAAGCCAGAGGTTGAGGGGGGACATGATCTAAGCCTGCAGTTTAAATAAAAGGTGTGGATAAGGTGAACGCTGTTGGCTTCACCACGTTCCTGGCACCCTACAGTAAGGTCTACAGGCCATCAAGGAGGCACTAAATGGAATTCAGTCTCCCAAATATATGCAGACCAAAGCTAAAACAGCTTTAGAAATTATTTAGCTCAATTTGGGGATAAGAGAAGTAAACTGGATGCTAAGGCTGTTTGAGGATATCCTAACATGTGGTTGACATCAGGGACAACAATCCTATCCTTCCCCACCACCCCGCGTGGTGCTACTCTAGAGAAAGAACCCTGTGATAATAGGCCCATGAGTCTGGGCCAAGAAACAGTTCTGTTGTTCTTAAACGTGGGGAGGAGTGGGCTGGGTGGAACTAGGGCATGCCTTCGTACCATCTCAGCAAAGATGCAGCCCAGGCTCCAGATGTCCACAGCTGTGGAGTAGTATTTGCAGCCCAAAAGGATTTCAGGTGCTCGGTACCACAGGGTCACCACCTGGGGGATAAGAGTGGGAAGGGGAGGGATGGTGTATGGGGCATGGAGATTCCCACGTCTCAGTTCCTCAGCACTACTCTGCTAACTCTCAGGCTCTTAACAAGCAGCTTCCTTCCCTCCATCCTTCCCCTCCTTCTGACTTCGCCTAAGTGAAATGATTACACACCACTTCTTAGCCCAGAGTTAGCCTTGCCCATGGCTCTGGGAACCGTATTTTCTGAACCCCCAATTTGTGACCTTTCTGGAAAACCTGAGACAAGTCGTCATAATTTTAATGGTGTGCCATCCAGCTCTCCTGGCTTGGTATCTATCAAAGGCCAGTTAGCCCTACGGTATGAAGGTATGAACTATGTGCATACTCTAAGACCTCCTGGGGTGTCAGAGATACTTTCCATCTACTGAGAGAGAAACTGCTGCCAGGTATTTTTAGTAACTTGGTGAATGTCTTTGTTAACACCTCCCAGGAAGTTCAGAGAAGAAATGCAGAGAGAGACTCACCTCATGAGTATAAGTACGAACAGGAACTCCAAAGGCTCTGGCTAGTCCGAAGTCTGCTAGCTTGATGGCCCCCTCTGCATTGATAAGCAGATTCTGAGGTTTGAGGTCTCGGTGCAGGACCCGGTGAGAATGGCAGAAAGCTAGGCCCTGGAGCAGCTGGAACAGATAGCTCTGACAAGGGAGACAGAGAGGACTGTGTTTTTCAACCACAGTGAGAAGATTAGGGTCTGCTCTGTGCCTCCAAAGCTCTACTAAAGCCTTTACTATGTTGGATCATAATTACATGTTTACAAGCTATTTCTCCCACTGGATTGTCAGCCCAGTGAGGGGTAAGGACCAGGTCTTATTCAGTTTTGCATCTCTTTTCCATATGCTGTGCCTAGCACATTGAAGGTGTTCAATAAATGTGCATTGAATAAACATTTGTTGACAGATTGAAAGTAGCTCCAGGAGTAAAGAACACAGGCCTAAAACAGACAGTAGAGAGCTGCTGGCTATTTCTTCCACCAAACAGGTGGAAGGGCTTTTTAGAGGAATCTACCAAGTGCCCTCAAGTCCCATTTATCTGAGTTTCATCTGACCTTCCACCTGAGCTGCTAAGTTGACTTACTAGAGTTTCCACTTCTCTGATTCTCCTGCCCAGCCCTGGGGTTAATAAGCATAATGAGCAGTGAAAGAGCCACAAAAGAAAGGGGTAGGTATTTGTCTGTAGGGGAATGAGGGCTGGGGAGGAAGCCACGATTACAAATCATCACTCAGTCTGAATTGCCTGCCTTCAGTCCCCTCCAAGATGCCCATGATGAGGAGGAGTTGAGGAGAAGGATTACCTTGATGAGGGGAAGAGGAATGCCCGTGAGAGCAGAGGCATCCATGAATTTCTTGAGATCCTGGTGCAGAAACTCAAAAACCAGGTAGAGTTTGTTTTCTGTGTGGATGACATCCAGCAGCCTAGGGAAGAGAGGTCCAGGAATGGAGGTGAGGGAAAGAAATGCCCAGACTTCACAGACAGAAGGCATCCTCCTTTACTATCAGAGTACCTCCCAAATACATACTTACTTGACAATATTAGGGTGGTTAAGCTCCTTAAGCAGAGAGATCTCCCGGATGGCAGTACTGGGTACACCCTCCGTCTCACTTGGAGAGGTTGGGAAAGTAGAGATGGGAATGCGGTTACAAATATTCTTTTTCCTCCAGCCCAGTCACTCCCTCTCCCCCCCACACACAAGGTGACACCACCCCCAGCATCCCCTAGGAAAGTGAGAGAAGAGAAAGAGTGCTGTAGGAGTTAATTCATGGGTGGTCAGGGAGTGGCTTTTAGACATATTAAGGTCATTATTTCTTCTTTTCCCAGGGGTAGGTAAGTAAAGCCTCCTGGTGAAGGTGAAGCAGAGAGAAGGTAACAGAAAAAAAATGGGACTAGCAGCACCCAGCCTCCCTGGAGGGGCCAGTGAGGTTCAACTGTCATTCTTTTGAAAGAGGGAGAGAATTCTAAGATGAGGGTGGGGTTGGGACAGTGAGGAGGGCTCTTCCTTCAGAAAGGTGCTTTTCACCAGTTCCTACAAAACCCAACTCCACCAGGAGTCCTGGACCCCATCTCAGGGGCCTCCTTAGTCTTCCTGAGTCTTTCTGACTGCACATTTGGGGGGGGTATCACCCGGCTTTGGGGAGGAAGTTCCCCATGGATTGTGCACTACGCTATACTCTCCACAGGGAAACTTTCTACTGTCCTCCAGTCCACCTCTCCACCTCAAAAGAAGTCCCTCCCTGCTACCTTCCGGTCCCTGGACGGCTACCCGCCTGTGGGGGTGGGGGTGGGGGTAGGGGCACTCAAGGAGCTCCGGAGTTAGGAGTCCCGGGTACAGAGGCCACTCACGTGTCCAGGCGGATTTTTTTAAGCGCCACCACTTCTCCCGTCAACTTGTTTTTGGCTTTGTACACAACTCCGTACGTGCCCTCTCCGATCTTTTCCACTTTTTGGAAGTTCTCCATGAAGCGCTAGCGAGCCGGGTCAGCCCGGCCCTGGAGCGGGGGCCTGGGAACCCTGCAGAAAGCGGGCCCCGGCTCTCGGGGGGCCAAAGAGGGGGAAACAGGGCCCAGCACCGCGACCCCAGGTCGGGATGGAACGCAGTGTATCTCTCGCTCTTGTCAATTTGTCCAACTTAAAACAATGTTGCCGCCTCCCCCCCAGTTCTCTACCGCCACCAGACGCCCCGCCCCTCCTTCCCGCGTTTCCCTGGCTCCGCCCCCGGGCCTTCCCATTGGTCAACGTCAGAGCGGGCGGGGCGAGCCCAGCGCCCCTCGCCGCAAATGACCTTCCCGCGCAAGTTTGGTTCTGAGGGGCGTTAGAACAAGTTTCTGCGTCGGTGACGAGGCTGAACACCTTTTTCCAAGTACCTGATTTGGGCTCGAGTTTCCGACCCGTGCCCTCAGTCTGTAGGGACTTCCTGATCTTTAACTCGCAGGGTTCGCCACCCTTAGGGGAAATGTGTATCGACCTAAGATGAAATTCCCCCCGGCCCAGGGAGCCTCCTTTGAAAAGCAGGAAGCTGGGAATCTCATTGTAAGGGTTTCCTGGGCCTCGGAGGAGTCGTTGCCTCCGCCTCTCAGCCTACCCTGAGACTGTCTCTCTGTTTTTGGATGCAGGATCTCTTGTCTTTTTGAGAGGTTCCTGTTGGACTCAAACAACAGACTGATTCACTCTCCCATGATGAACTGTGTGTGTCCGGTACGTGTTACGTAGCTGCCCTTCACTCAATTCTTTCCCGGGAGGATGGAGTGTGTCCAGATGAAAGTGACCCAGAAACTGTCATTGAGTAGTGGGATGTCCAGGGACCAGGATCCCTTGTCAGTTCTGCCGTTCTCCGGTCCTCCCGCCCCTCCCAGACCTTCCCTGGAGGGAGAGGAGGAAGGGCTATGCAAATAAGCACCCCTTTCTTATATAGGGGCTTGTCCCAGCCCACCAGCACCTTTGGTTGCTGGAAGGAAGAAGAGGATGGATCTGGTGCTGAGAAAATGCCTTCTCCATATGGCTGTGATGGGTGCTCTTCTGGCTGTGGGGGCCACAGAAGGTGAGTGTGGGGTGTGTGGAGATGAACAAGTATGAATTTGAGATTGCACATCTGCTCTGGTTTTCCCCCTCCTAATAGGAGTTACCAGCAATACTTCTGTCTTCTCCCATCCATTTGATTTAGTGAGGACATGGGCACCTGAGCTCCCTCCCCACATGGAGATTTGGGACTGGACCTGAAAATAATCCCATCTGCTTGGAAGGGAAAGAGGATAGTGGATCTTCACGGCCCTAATTCTGAGGCCCCCTGTGCAGTGAGATGGGGCAGGGGCTCCAAAGGGCTGAAATGAGTGGGAGACTCTTTTAGGCAATGTCTCAAACACTTGGGATAGGGTAAAGTGAGGAATAAGAGAATGTGGTATTGGATAAGAAGGGTAAGGGGGCCCCATCGCCCCTCTTTGGGATGGAGATGGGCGAACACAGCCCAGGCTTTTGTTCTGGGGCTGGAAGAGACAGGCAGAGGGTCTCAGCTGAGCATCACATGAAAGGGCTTTGGGGGATTGAAGCCTCGTGATAGGAGCAAGGGATGGGGGCAGGGGTGGTGAGAGGGTCTGGAATGTCCCGTGCTGCTCTGAGAAGGGAGGGTTGGGAGTGGAGAAAGAATAGGGCATCTTATGATAGGGTGGGATGCTCAATGACATGCTTCCAGATCCTCCCCCAGTGGAATCAACTAGGTTTCCAGTACACATTAGAAATGGAGTGAGGACAGTTTCTGCTGTGCTGAAATATATACCTCATATCCCAGTCCCCATTTTCTTTTTTTTTTTAATAATTTTATTTATTTATTTTTTCCCCCAAAGCCCCAGTAGATAGTTGTACGTCATAGTTGCACATCCTTCCAGTTGCTGTATGTGGGACGAAGCCTCAGCATGGCCAGAGAAGCGGCGCGTCGGTGCGCGCCCGGGATCCGAACCCCGGGCCGCCAGCAGCAGAGCGCGCGCACTTAACCGCCAAGCCACCGGGCCAGCCCCAGTCCCCATTTTCTATCTCTAGATCCCTAGTCACACAGACTTCTAGGAAGTTCTCCTTGATCTGACTTCCCTCATTCATGCTGCAGTTTCAAGTCTTATTCTTTTACTATGTTCCTTAATGTATTCTGGAAACATTCTGTTCATACTTGTCCACCTGAGGCTCTTAAAAGATTGTGCTTACTTTTTGGGTCCCAATTTTTAAAATCATAAGAAGACATTTTTGGATATTCATGAAATTTTATATTGACTGAGTTTGATAATTTCGTCTAGTATAAATTGACATTGTTCTTATTCAAGAAAATATTCATATTTAAAAAAATTTTTTTAACCCTACAGATACATGCTGCATTTGTAGGGTTAAAATAACAAGATGTCTGGGATTTTTTAAAAAATACTTTAGCCAAAAAACAAACAAACAACAGTAATAAAAGAGAGATAAGACAAATGTGGCAAAATGTTGACAGTCGTTGGATCTGGGTGAGGCATATGGAGATCCATCATATCCCTTTTTTTCTCAGACTTCTCTCTTGGTCAGTTACAATAATTTTATCTGCTCTGTCCCCACCCGCAACCTTTGCCTGCCTCTGATCCATCCTCCTCACTGCTTGCCAGTGATCCTTCTAAAACACATCTGATCATATTCAAAAGCTTCTGAAGGGTGAATTTTATGGTATGTGAATTATATCTCAATAAAACAAACAAACAAAATCTTCTGAGGTGGCCTTGCCTACAGGATAAAGGCCAAACTCCTTCACCTGGCACTGAAAGCCCCCATCTTCTTGGCCTCATCTCTCACAGTGTGCATCAACCACATTGCTGGTAGTCTCCTATCATGCCATGTGCTTCCCTGCCTCCATGCATCTGCTCATGCTGGGCCTTATCCCACAGGCCAACTCCTCACTGACATCTTTCCCAATCTGCCAGAGTAGAACTAGTCTGTTTAGTTTGTCATTTCATGCACTTTGTGCATGTCTGTTATTGTTCATATTAAACAGTGCCTTGAATTATAGTAATTTATGTATATGTCTATTTCCTATACTTTACCTTGAATCCCATTAGGGCCATGTCTTGTTCATTTCTTAAGTCCTTTGTACCTAGCATAGTGCCTGGTACCTGGTGGGCATTCAGTAAATTAAAATGCAATTTGAATGTGAGAATGAGTGGGGCCACATGGGACGGTGTTATCCCCTGAGAAGGGACTGAGTGAGGATCCTAGGGCCCTCATGGTACCTTCCTTTTAGGACCCAGAGGCCGGGACTGGCTTGGTGTCTCAAGACAGCTCAGAACTAAAGCCTGGAACAGGCAGCTGTATCCAGAGTGGACAGAAATTCAGAGGCCTGACTGCTGGAGAGGTGGGAACTTGACAATTTCTGGGGAGGGTATGGTGGGAACGGGGTGAGGAGAGGAGCAAGAACGGGGTTGGATGTAGCTTGGAATGATAGGAAGGGAAAAGGTACATGGGGAGTGGAAACCAAGGAGTCCCAGCTAATGCAGCTGCCCTTCCCAGGTGGCCAGGTGTCCCTGAAGGTCAGTAACGATGGGCCTACACTGGTTGGGGCAAATGCCTCTTTCTCTATTGCCCTGCACTTCCCTGAAAGCCAAAAGGTGCTGCCAGATGGGCAGGTCATCTGGGCCAACAACACCATCATCAATGGTGAGTACCTTTCTACTCCAGGCCCTCATTCCTAGGGCTCGGATTCCCTGGTATCCCCAATGAGCTCAGGGAATGCTCCCTTCCCCTCTAATTTTTTTTTTTTTTTACAAATTATATTTGTAATACATATTCATTGTAGAAAAATTAGAAAACACAGAGAAAGCAAAAAGAAGAAAAAATTATAGTCCCCAAAATGGGGGACAGAAGACCCAGTGGACCTAGAAGTGGGACAGACTTTGATTTAAACTTGCTACTAGCATGTGATCCTGGGCAAGTTACTTAATTCTTTTATGCTTCCATTTCCTTATCTAGAATGGGGATGATAACTTGAAAGGTTTTTTTAAGGATTAAAATGTGATAATCTGTAAAGAATTTAGCATACACCTTCCACAGCCTACAGTAAAGGCTCAATAAATGTTAGCTGGGGCTGTTATTTTTATTTTTAGTGAGGAGATCAGCCCTGTGCTAACATCTGCCAATCCTCCTCTTTTTTGCGGAGGAAGACTGGCCCTGGGCTAACATCTGTGCCCATCTTCCTCCACTTTATATGGGACGCCGCCACACAGCCAAGCAGTGCGTCAGTGCGCGCCCGGGATCCGAATCAGCGAACCCCGGGCCGCCGCAGCGAAGCACGCGCACTTAACCGCTTGCGCCACTGGGTCGGCCCCGTGGTGCTGTTTTTATTTTTATCCCACTAGCTAGAGCAAATCACTCTAAACATTTTGATATATGGCCTTCCAATCTCTTTCCTATTTAAATATACATATGAATCTTTAATTGTAGTTTCCATTCTCCCCACCACCACCCCAAATGGGTTATACAAGGGGAACGTACTTCGTAGCTAAAGAAGTATTCCCAGACCCCCTCTCTGGGAGCCATGTTAGGGGTTCTGGTGTATAGAAAGGAATGCCAGGGTTTGAGGGTGACTCTGTATCTACCTTTCAGGGAGCCAAGTGTGGAGAGGACAGCCAGTGTATCCCCAGGAACCTGATGATACCTGCATTTTCCCTGACGGAGGGGCCTGCCCATCTGGCCCCATGTCTCAGAGGAGAAGTTTTGTTTATGTCTGGAAGACCTGGGGTGAGGGACCTCCTTCTCTGGCCTGTCATCCACACTTGGATTCTCCTCTTCCTACCTGATCCCCTTTCTCTTTGGTCCCATCGCTTAAGCTCTGTGAGTTTCCCTAATCTTCATTTCCCCCATGGCTCTTTCCTCTTCCATAGCACCTAGCCCCCTCCGACTCTCTTTATTATAATTCTTTCTGCGGACGCTTCCCCAATTATAGTTCCATCTCATGGAACCCCTCATTAGGACTCCTTTCCTGCCCCCCATATCACAACCTTCCAAACACCCTCTGAAATAACCATCCTCAGTACATCTCCTGACCTTCCTTCTCTGGTGCCCTGTCTCTAATCCTGCCCCTCAGTCCCCTTTGACCAGTAACCCCCACCCCTCCTGCTTTTCTTTCCAAAAACCTCAGACCAATACTGGCAAGTTCTGGGGGGCCCAGTGTCGGGGCTGAGCATTGGGACAGGCACAGCAGTGCTGGGCACACACACCATGGAAGTGACTGTCTACCACCGCCGGGGGTCCCAGAGCTACGTGCCTCTTGCTCACTCCCGCTCAGCCTTCACCATTACTGGTAAGGATTTAGGACGGCACAAGGCCAGCTGCAGGGCAGGAGAAGGTGGGGAGGCTTGCTAGACTGGAAAGGGAAATGATGTGTAACCTTAAAGGGGCAGAGCCAGGAAGACCTGGGGGCAGAGGAATGTGGAGATTAGAGCCAGTGAAAGGCCACTTAGTCAGCTTGGGGTTGGAGGGTGGGGTTGTGAAAAGAGAGGCTATGGCCCAGACCTGCTTCTCACTTTTTCTGGCTCCAATCCCAGACCAGGTGCCCTTCTCCGTGAGCGTGTCCCAGCTGCAGGCCTTGGATGGAGAGAATAAGCACTTCCTGAGAAATCAACCTCTGACCTTTGCCCTCCGGCTCCACGACCCCAGTGGCTATCTGGCTGGAGCTGATCTCTCCTACACCTGGGACTTTGGAGACAGTACTGGGACCCTGATCTCTAGGGCACTTGTGGTCACTCACACTTACCTAGAGTCTGGCCCAGTCACTGCCCAGGTGGTGTTGCAGGCTGCCATTCCTCTCACCTCCTGTGGCTCCTCCCCAATTCCAGGCACCACAGATGGACATATGCCAACTGCAGAGGCCCCTGGCACCACAGCTGGACAAGTGCCTACTGCAGATGTTGTAGGTACTACATCTGGTCAGGTGCCAACTGCAGAGCCCTCTAGAACCACAGCTGTGCAGGTGCCAACCACGGAGGTCATAAATACTACACCTGTGCAGGTGCCAACTGCAGAGGGCACAGGTACTACACCTGAGCAGGTGTCAACCTCAGAGATCCTAGATACCACACTTGCAGAGATGCTGACTGCAGAGGCTATAGGTATGACACCTGAAGTGTCAACTCCAGAGTCATCTGGAACCACGGTTGCCCAGGTAACAACTACAGAGTTGGTGGAGACCACAGCTGGAGAGGCATTCACCCCTGAGCCTGAGGGTCCAGATGCCAGCCCATTCATGCCTACAGAAGGTGTTACAGGTAAGAGGCCAGTGTGAACAAGGTTCAACGGGGCAGGGCATTTGTCACTACTCTAAAGAGCTGACTCACCCAGGACCCAGATGTTACCCAATCTTTTGCTTAGCAATGGAGTCCATCAAAGCCCTCACTGGTTTTAAAGCCCTCAAGTCCCTCTTAATGACATGGAATAGAACTGGAATTCAGGAAGCCAAGTTCTTCCCCTAGGCCACAAGGAGAGAGCTTGTTGCTTCTCTGTCCAAGGAGAGCTGTTCGCTGAGAGGAAGGTCAGGGAACAGACCGTTATCATTTACATAATATTTATATCTCATTTTCTGTTCAAATGTAAATGCCTAGAAATCTTTCCCAAATTCTGACACCATTTCCCACCCCTGGATTCCCATCCCAAAGCAGGTCAACCTGGGATTGTGGTAGGAATACTAAAAAGGGAGGAATTAGATAGTGATGCTTTAATGACTTAATGGATGTCCAGTGTCTAGCATGGGGCCTGGCACAGTGTGGGGTGTGATAAACATTTGGGATTTTTTTTTTCTTTTTTGGTGAGGAAGATTGGCCCTGAGCTAACATCTATTGCCAATCTTCCTCTTTTTGCTGAGGAAGATTGGCTGTCAGCTAACATCCATGCCCATATTCCTCTATTTTGCATATGGGAGGCTGCCACAGCATGGCTTGATGGGTGGTGTGTAGGTCCACGCCTGGGATTCAAACCAGCGAACCCCAGGCTGCCAAAGTGGAGCGTGTGAACTTAACCACTACGCCACTGAGCCAGCCCCATTTGGGATTTTTTAAAACTCTAGCTCTACCCCAAATGGTGTGACTCTGGGGCAGTCATTTCTCCTTCTGGGCCTCAGTTTCCTTACCTACAAAATGAGATTTCCTAGGTCTTGTCTGATTCCAAGCCTGGATCCATTAGTTCTGACTCTACCTGGAAAAATGCCTGCTTGGCCTCTGTTTCCAGGTGAGTCATTTGTCTCCTGACTTTTCCTCTTCAATCCTCTCCTGCCAGGCTCCCAGATCCCCCCGCTGGATGGCACAGCCACCTTAATCTTGGTGAAGCGACAAGCCCCCCTGGATTGTGTTCTGTATCGATATGGCTCCTTTACCCTCACCCTGGACATTGTCCGTGAGTCTTGCCTACTTTGGGGCTGGTGGAGGGAAGCATGTGCTGCCTAGGGCTGGCCAGTGGAAGCATACCTTGGAAGGAGTTACTCACCTGGACAAGAACACCCAAATCCTAGGGTTTCCATTTGAAGGCACAGGGGTGGGATTAGGGGGAGCAGCCCTGGGGCTTTCCTGTCTATGGGCCCTTGAAGAGGCCTAGGAGAGGAATCCAGACTTAAAATCTCCCTACTGTGCAGAGGGTATTGAGAGTGCTGAGATCCTGCAGGCTGTGCCATCCAGTGAAGGGGATGCATTTGAGCTGACTGTGTCTTGCCAAGGCGGGTGAGTGTCCCACTGGTTGTCCTGCTCTCTGGTGTCTAGCATTCCTTCCCAGACCCTCTGACCTAAGCTGACATCTTTCTCAGGCTGCCCAAGGAAGCCTGTATGGACATCTCATCACCAGGGTGCCAGCCCCCTGCCCAGCGGCTGTGTCAGCCTGTGCCACCCAACCCAGCTTGCCAGCTGGTTCTGCATCAGGTATTGAAGGGTGGCTCAGGGACCTACTGCCTCAATGTGTCTTTGGCTGATGCCAACAGCCTGGCAATGGTCAGCACCCAGTTTGTCATGCCTGGTAGGTACTTGGACAAGAGCTAGGAGGAAAAGGAGTGGGCAGAGGCTATCTGGCAGGGAGCAGACACTGATTGAAGCTGTGCCTGGGATTCTTCTGCTCACAGGTCAAGAAGCAGGCCTTGGGCAGGCTCCCCTGTTCATGGGCATCTTGCTGGTGTTGATGGCTACAGTGCTTGCATCTCTGATATATAGGTGAGGGCCCCACTATCCAGCTTACACCCCCTTATCCCTTATTACCACCATTCATTCTTCTTCAAGGGGAGAAGGAACCACCGCTCCCTGTGAGGAAGCATGGTGTCCAGGAATGAGCCCAGACTTGGAAGTTAAACAGGCCTGGGCTGCAGTCTTGCTGGTGGGACCTTAGGGAAGTAGCTTAACCTTTCTGAGCCTCTGAAAAGTAGGAAAACTAATACCTGCCCTGTGGGAGATGTTGTCAGGATTAGAGACAATGTGAGTAAAGCTGGTTCTGAAGCAAGAGTGCAATGAATGATGATATTGATGACTGTTGTTGTTAATAATATAAAGAGTGGAGGAGGTTGGGTGAACTGAGTTCTCCACCTATGAGAAGGGCAGATCCCCAGGCCCAGAATGCCAAGATCCTCAAAGCAAGGAAACTTGTAGGGTGAAAGGGGAATGGACAGAGGTTACCATAGAAACAAGAGAGGATGAACCCTGTTGGTGAGGAGAAGAGGAGAGAGCTAGGATCAAGGCCAAGTAAACCTGGGATATGGGTGTGTCCTCTTCTTTGGAGAAGCACAGAGAGGCTGCCCTTGTCCCTTGCTTACCAGTTTCCCCCTTCTTCTCCCAAATCAGGCGCAGACTTATGAAGCAGGGCTCAGCTCTCCCCCTTCCCCAGCTGCCACACGGTAGAACCCACTGGCTGCGTCTGCCCCGGGTCTTCCGCTCTTGCCCCAGTGGGGAGAGCAGCCCCCTCCTCAGCGGGCAGCAGGTCTGAGTACTCTCATGTGATGCCATGATTTACCCAGGTGTGGACAGCAACGCCTCTCTTTTCTCCAGTCTTCCCTTGGAGACTACCATTACCTGAAATAAATACTCAGAACCTGGTGCTGTTTTTTTCTTGCTTCTGGGAGAATCTATGTCATTTAAGGAGTGGAAGTATAAAGGAGGGAGGTGTACCACTTACTTAACAGATATCCCAGTGGGAAAAACAAGTCATTTTATTCAGATGAGGCACTTTCAATGTATGTGTTTGTGGTGTGTGTGTGTATGTATGCGTGTGCATGGGGAATAGTGGAAGGTTGGTGCAGGATAATAAATACTGTGAGGGTGAAGGAACACCCCCCTGAGCTGGCAGGAGGATGTGGCAGCAATGTACAGAGCCTAGGAAATAGAGTCCAGAGACGAGGAGGTGGGTTCAAGGCTGGCTTGGAGGCTGAGGTGTCCCCCTCAGCACAAGAAGCCAAAGAAATTGGAGGAGCGGGGGGGTGGGCCCATGAGCATGGGCATCTGGTTCCTGTGGGTGATCTTGATCTGGAAGGGAAGGTGGCATGTTCAGAGGCAGGACCTTGGGGCTGGAGCAGCAGAGATTTGGGGGAAAGTCTTTGGGGTCTGGGGTGGGTTGCTGGGGTCCTAAAGAGGCCATAGTTGGAAGGCCAGGGGCAGAGAAATCAAGATTTGGGAGAAATGGTGCACAGGGGAAGTTCAGGCATCAGGAGGAGGTAAAGAAGCTGTGCTATGGAACCCATGGAGCCTGAGGGTTCAGTTTATGGCAGGCATAGGCAATACTCACTGTACAGGGCGTCTGCATCCAGGGTTCTCCATCAATTTGCATGGGGAGGGTTTTGGTGGTGCTGTGGGAGGCCAAGGCAGATTGGTGATTTCTTTACCAACTGAATACCAAAACTTGGTTTCTCAGGCTGGCTTTGAGACCCTTTGTTACTGAGGAAGAACTCCTAGTACAGCCCCTCCCCAACATTTCCATGACTCTCTGCTCTCCTAAGCCCACTCCTTCCCTCAGAGCCTGTGGCTGGAGTTCTCCTTACTGGAAGGTGATCTCAGAGCACTTGGCCAGCCGATGTCCAGCATTCTTGAGCTTTGTATAGATCTGGCCCATCTCAATGGCACCCTCCAGCCCTACTACTTCCAGCCGCTTGTCACTTAGGTCTGGGGGTGGGAAGCAGGGAGATAGGTTTTGCAGAAGCAGGGTGCCTCCAAAGAGAGTCACACCTTTCCCTTTGTCCTGCCCACTCAGCTCCCAAAGCTGCGCCTCTCACCTGGTACACAGGTTTTCAGGATATCAGGGTCGGTGATGACTTTAGCTGCAGCGCCTAAGGCCTGGTTGATCCCATGGATATCCCCGTGAGGTCTCTTGGTATCCCCCCAGAGGTTGGAGCCGCCATGCGTGCTAGGGATGTTCAGCACTGCGATGCCTTCTAGGGACAGGTTGCTCAAATCCAGCGGTTTCCCACAGATCTGAGGGGAGGAGAGCACAGATCCTCACCTCATGGCGTAATCACAGATTTGACCCCTCCCTCCATCAGATGACAAACTGGGAAGGCCAGGATTTGGAGGTGTGTAAGGAAAGGAGGGAAATAAGGACTGGTGTATCTTGAAAACTTGGGAAATTAGGATTGGAGAGCTGGGAGGTCAGAGTATAAGTCCAAGAATATGGGAAGTTCCTGAGGGCACCTGTGGAAGGAGAAACTAAGATATAAAGAGCTAAAAAGAATGTAGGGTTGGGTCTCATCCCACCCACCTCAACTGTCAAAGACTCCTCCAGCTTTTTGCACGTTGAGAAGATGGATTCAGAAGTGGCGAATTCAAAGTACCATAGCTTGTTCTTCATTCTGTGTCAGCCCCAACACAAGGCCCAGTAGGGAGGGACAAGTTATACAGTGCTGGCCAAGGTGGGCCAAGTGACAGGGAAGGACATCAACCTCCCGACCCCAGTCCCATGGGGAACAGGGTAGCTTTGGTTGAGGGGCTTCCTAGAGGTGTCACTGCCTATCTAAGTGCTCTGAGTCAAAGTCAGCCACAACCTAGTCCCTGCCACTGTATATGCCCACCCCCCATCCCCTTGCCCCTCACCTGCTGTTGAACTTCTCAGGATATTTCTCTCGCATGACATGGAATCGGTGAGCAATAGAGGCATCCTGGGGAGTTCAGGGCATGTAAGATCAGAGGCCTGCCTCCTCTCTCAGCACAGAACTCTTTCTCTCTTTAACTCCCCAGTTTGGGAGCAGTATGTCCCAGGTTCTTTTCTTGCAACTAATACCACTGTACCCCACCCCCAATTTCCCTGTGTCACAGCTCCCTTAACCTCTACCTTCCCTTTCTGCCCTCTTCCAGGCTCTGCCTGCTTAACCCCTACTTCCTCCCTTACCCCCAGGCCCCACTCCACTGACCACACCGATGGAGAAGTAGTTGTTGATGATTTGAAAGGGGACTGGGTCACTCTTTTCTTCAGTTTGTTGGGGTATCACTTCCACAGACCATCGATCCATATGTACCACCTTACTCATCTCTAAATCCTTGAGGATCTTCCCCAAATTCTGTCCCTCATACCCTAAGGATTGGGGAGAAGACAAGTTAGCACTGAGCCCTGGATCCCTGAGGGACCTCTTCTCAGTTCCCAACTCCACAAATTCCCAGAGATCCTCTGCCCTGGTTCTGCAGACCCTCCCAGCCTAGCCAGTGAAATGGCAAGGTGCTCGGTCATGAGTCCCATGGACCAATCTTAAGTTCAGCCCCTTACTGACTCTTTTCTCCACATTGTCATGGAGGGTGAATGTTCCCAATGTGCGTGCACAACTAACAATAACACCAAAGTTCCTCTGGAAGATTAGAGAAAATAGCCAGGAAAATACAAAACAATAAAAAAGATGAGCGAGGGGCCGGCCCTGTGGCTTGGTGGTTAAGTGCGCGCGCTGCGATGCTGGTGGCCCGGGGTTCGGATCCCGGGTGCGCATCGAGGCACCACTTCTCC